TTATTTAATCACTTTCACCAGAGTGTGGTGAGGGTCGCACAACAGAGCGAGGCTCCAAATTAAGTGCGCCCTATATCCCACCCATCCCACCCCAGGGGAGGACATCCATCACACAGTAATCTCGTGTGTGGGAAATTAACGTCTCCTACCCCAACCCTGCAGGAGACGGGACCTCCATTTATTCGTCCCTATCCGAGAAGACTAGAATATCTAACCATTTCTTGATGTTATAGAAAGGTAGCAAATTCTTCTCAATTATTTTAAGACCCTGAGTGTTGGTCCGGCTGGGGCTCGAACCCTCGACCTCTCGCACAACAGTCCAGCCCTCTATCCATTGAGCTAACTGGGAGGTGGTTAGCTCAATGGACATTTTACCAAAGAATTTTCAGATTTATTAAGAACTTTTTGGTTTTCCTCATGTAAGCACAGATAACCTGGCTGCTTTTTCTGTAATCTAAGTTAACCATAGTAAATTTTTCCTTTTAGAATTTTAGGGGCAGGCTGATTCTTTATCTCTGAGGAAGGGCTAACGCTCTAAACATCAGCTTTTTAACTCTTTCCAGTGGCCAATTTACAATTTCAACTTAGTTGAAATAACCAAATTATTCGTTATCAAGCAGGCCAGTTGGGGTAGCCAGGATGAAAAGAAAATATTCTTACCTCAACCAAGTCTCCACCAACAATATTCAATCCTAAGCACCCTCTGACAATTTCCATGCCTTGTATGGAGGTGAGGCCCCCAATTTCTGGGGTTCCTAATAATCACAAAACACAGATAAAGTTCCGGTGGCTTGAGTGGCTTTCAGGTTTAGCTGGTAAAGTATCATCATGCTGGTGTCACAAAGGTTATAGGTTCTAATCCATTAATGTGAAAGAATTTTTCAGGCTTCTTTTTCTAACTGCTCAAATTCAAATAGAGAGTTTTTGCCTGGTAGTTCATTTCTCAGGTGAAGTGTCTCATTTCTAGAGCAAAATTAACATCCCTTCTCTTTAGACAGGAGAATCAGCAAGTTTGTAATAACTCAAGGGTGAAATATGATGCTTCCATACTGAGAAAAACAGGTATTTTTTTATGTTGAAAATTAATTTCTTTTTAAATTATGCAACCAAGGAGTTTTTGATATGTGACTCGTTAAGATTCTTACCAGTTCCTGGTGCAAATGCTGGGTCCAAACTGTCAATATCAAAAGATATATAGACTGGGCCACTTCCCATCTGCTGACGAACTTCAGCCATCAGTGGTTCCAAAGACTTGTGCCAACAGTCCTTAGCCTACACCAACCTAAAACCCTGCAGGATTAACCAGCTTTGAACATAATATAAAGCAAGGTAGAGAAAGCAGATCCTCTTATGCCTGTTAGAAATATAAGATCTCTGTCAGTTGCTGAGCAACAATGCACACACTTCTTAATGTTGGGTTAGGGAATTTCAAGATGAAAAAGACAGATAATGATGATGATGACAATGATGGATGCATAAAATTGTGTGCAAATTGGCAAAAGAAAAATATTTTATACATTTTTAATAAGTAGTAGAAAGAATTTCATCTTTAAATCAAGATTTTGATAACCATTTTGTGCTTTTTTTACAAAATTTTTTATCCTTTGTTTCCTTTATTTAAATTCAAAATGTGAAAATCTTTAACAAATTTGAACTTCATATCACTTCTTTGGTAGTCAGATTCAAACCAGTACTATCGCCACAACTTCACTGAGCAGTTAGCCAAAAATTTTTTTCCTTCATCATTCAGTTTTTTGTTATTAGTGTTGTTTCCATTGTATACCTGATCTTCTGCCCATGAATAATCCTTGCCAGTATATCCAGAACCCCGCAAACCAATCTGTACCACACGTTCACAGTCCAACAGCCCTTCCTCAACTGCTCGACGGAATGTCGTTCCATGGGTAATTTTTTCTCCAAACATGACATCATTTGTATCAGAATGAGCATCGATATGAACTAAACCAACAGGTCCATGTTTTTCCTATTTGTAAAAATGAAAACAGGAATCAAGTGGGAAACAATTGATGATACAATTTACAAATACCACGTTTACTTTATTAAGCACCATAGGCAATTACCAATTTTATGGATCTCGAGAGAAGCTACAAGGATGGATCCATGAATTTTTCCTAGCAGCAACTGCACCACTAAAGAATGAGATGGCTGATGTCTGCTCTGATGAATAAAAGAGCTAATACTGAAAATGTCCGTGCCAAACCAACATTTTAAACAGTATTTAATACATATTCTTTAACCTCATATCATGTTTGACTTCAACTAAATACTAGTTAGACAAGAAAGCCGCAAGTCATCTTAGAAGGAGGGGTGCACAACCCCAGCACCCCTCTCCGAAATTGCCCTGGCACTGGGCACATATGTGAGGGTGGGAGCTCATTCAATTTTCATTATTTTTAGCAAGTTGTAAGTTAGTTTTGCACAAAGAACAATAAAGAGTACGTAACAAAACAGGAACATGTACTATTGTCAGCAAATTTAGAGATTGTATTGTCAGTCAGTAAAGAAGTAATAATCAATACTGCACTTTAGTTTTTATTTGGTGGGGATGGCTCATTTAACTTTTCCTACTTAACTACCATTTAGCTACAATTTAACTTTCCTTTCCCCTTTTCAACTGTCTCCCAGTTAGCTCAATTGGTATAGCGCCGGACTGCTGTGCGGGAGGTCGAGAGTTCAAATCTGGCCAGACCAACACTCAGGGTCTTTAAATAACTGAGTAGAAAGTGCTGCCTTTATAATAATATCTGCAAACGGTTAGACTTTCTAGTCTTCTCGGATAGGGATGATAAATGGAGGTCCCGTCTCACAAGCCCTTATATGTGANAGCTACAATTTAACTTTTCCTTTCCCCTTTTCAACCGCCTCCCAGTTAGCTCAATTGGTATAGCACCGGACTGTTGTGCGGGAGGTTGAGAGTTCAAATCTGGCCAGACCAACACTCAGGGTCTTTAAATAACTGAGTAGAAAGTGCTGCCTTTATAATAATATCTGCAAACGGTTAGCCTTTCTAGTCTTCTCGGATAGGGATGATAAATGGAGGTCCCGTCTCACAAGCCCTTACACGTGATTTAAATTTTTGGGATGTTAAAGAACCCACACACTCCTCGAAAAGAGTACGGCACGTAGTGCCCAGTGTTGTGATCTATCTTTGTGCAGTGTCTATCCAGGGTGAATTGGGGGGAGGGGTGGTGCCTCGCATGGACCTTGTGTTCTGTTCGCAATAACCCTTCTGGGTCTAGTCACAACTGGTAAAGTCGTTAAAACAAAAAAAATAAAACAAATAAAACAAAACAAACTACCTGCAACTTGGACACTAATTTGGGGTTGGGTGCTCAAAGAAATAAATTAAGAATTTTTTCCAAACTTTATTCCTATATAATCACACTAGCAGATCTTGGGGAGGGGTCAGGGGGGGAGCCTGGACCTCTTATTTTGGGTAAAGAAAATTAATGGAAAGGGAAGAAAAGCGGGCAGGTGTACACACATATACACATACATACACATATACACACACTCCCCCCTCCCTGAATCAGTCTACTGACCTTGATTCCCTGAAGAATTGGATATGAAATAGTGTGATCACCTCCCAAAACCAGAGGAATACAGCCATAACCAGCAATTGCAGCAATATGTTTATGGATGATTTGCACAGTTGCAGCAAGGTTGTATGTATTGATAGGAATGTCACCGAGATCGGCAACCATGAGAGTTTCAAATGGTGCTGCTCCTGTGGCATTATTGTAAGGGCGAAGCAAACATGATTCTGCTCGTATTTGTCTTGGGCCAAGGCTACAGAAAAAAGAATAGATATTTGATGCTAGAAAGAAAACATTGCTTTTCCATTCTTTTAGACCAATCACTCCAAAATTTTATAAGGTGGCTGTGGAAATTTTCAGCTCTACTTCCACCCATTGATTGATGAATGGAAGTTTCTGTCACCCTTCTCCTAAAGTCAGCTTAACTAACAAATGCTGGTGGACGAACAATAGAAGCTAATGAGGTATCTATTGTTTATGTCCACCAACATGGCAGTAATGACGTCACGTGCAAACCACCTATCCACAAATTTCTCTATTTTGCTAAGATCATAGATCAGTTTTTTTTTTTTTTTGACTTAAAATCTATTCATTAAATGCTTCTTGGCATGGCAAGGCGAATGGAAGGGCAGAGATTTCGGTATATTTCTCTCCATTTCATTTTCATATACAAACAAATATTAATTGATAAGAGAAAAGAGAAAACAATAGCCAAAAAATTTGATAATCTTTGATTACCAAATGCTTTGTTTTAGAATAGTATTGGGTTGCATAGAAATCTTTCCGCGACAAATAATGGTGAATAAAGCAGGGAATTGGGAAAGAGTTCCATAGAACCCCCTACATTAATTATGCATTCCATTTCATAAAGACTAAATAGGAAGGTTTTTTGGGCAACACTCCATGCATGATTAATGTATGGGGTTACACCGAACTCTTGCCTGGAATTGTGACACTCTTAGCGTATGGAGACTCACTTTAACTTTTGCCTGGATTAATGAGCACATTTCACTATTTGTTTGTATAAAACAAAAGAAAGGATTTGCATGAAATCTTCTCCCTATGGACTGATTTGTGCGGTCATGTTAAAACGCAGACTGCAGACCATGCAGACCATAATTTTTTTGTACTTTTCAGTTTTTTTCCCTTTTTTTAACTGTGATTTTCACCTTTTCCTTACTCTATTGGTAACATTGGAACATGTTCAGTATCCAGTTTTTGGACACCACATAATGTAGTTTTATGAGGTCATTTGGAGCTCAGGTTACCTAGCAACAATTTGGCTCAAAATTCTTGAGCACGTGGTGAGTTGTAGATCCACGAGGGAAGGTTAAACTTGAGTTTGCCCTTGTACATGTGTTGAGATCAATTTTAGCTTTGTCGTATACTTTTGTTGACTTTCTGTATTGAAGATGGAAACCAATGACTGATTTAGAGGTAAGAAATGGGTTGCGTGGACGAAGCAAATAATTACCAAGATCTTCACAACACGACCCAAAGAATATTACAGTAAATAAAGTGCTGCAAGCTAAAATCGACTTTTACTCGGAAATAAGATCGTGCCAATACACTTGTACGCAATTTTTTTGATAGGACATTGCCATAAAGATGAAACATTGATTCATACATTTCGTGCAAGCTCCTCTACGACTTTTCATAAAAAATTAACGATAGGTGTAGTAAAACTGAGGAAAGCGTGATCCTAGCGCATTGAAACGTGACCAAAAATGTGCAAAGTGTAATCTTGACAGGGCAGGATTTACGTAGGTAAATAGGGTCGACTACAACAAAGCATTATGGTCACGTTCGAATTCAGGTGTTTACTACAAACGAATGTACACGCCTTTCCCTCGCCTATCTAATCACGTAAAAACTAGCCACCAGTATGTATATAAGCACTTTGATTTAGCAAATAAAGTTAGACGTTAATCAGGACTATAGTGTGTGCGAGTCAGACTCTTTGTTAAGGGGACCACGGTCTGCTGGGTCTGCAAGGTCTGCACAGTCTGCAGTCTGCGTTTTAACATGACCGGATTTGTGGCACCCACCAAACTTACGTAACGCAACAACAAAATACGCACCGAGTTCCGGATCTATTCGAAGTTCCCGAATCCAGTGGAATTCCCACAAAACAGACATCCAATCCCTCGGCAGTTGCTACCACAGGGAGTCGCAGCATTGAAGCTATTCCACCCGCACGCGGCATGTCGTTTGGGCTCATCGGAAAGTTGAAATCTCTTGAAAAACGACTACAAACGGTGATACTGCGGGCTTGAAGCCTCGGTGCATTTGAACGAACCAAAAAACGCAAAACACGGCTTGAGCGATACATAATTCTTAGTCTCTGCTTTCCGCGTGTGTCACTGATGAATTGTGGAACGAGTTCGCCTGGAAACTAAGGCCCTCAGCAGAGTGAGCGAAAACAAAGCGGAGGTGTCCAGCCGCTCCTGCCCTTGCGAATCCGAGAGCGGTCCGAAACCTTCCGATATCGGGACGGCACCATCCGAAAATACAACGACCTGTCTTAATGTTGACCACACCCAAGTTTTGATGGGACTACCGAAGACGAGGTAAATATCGTCGAATAATCCCCCAGGCGAAGTCGAGGGGATTATTCGACAATATTCACCGAACCCGAGGCGAATAATTGTTTTAGCATAATTTCAGAGCTGAACAACAGAGAAGTTTCTAAAATCATAACATTTTAGTAACATTTATTAACATTTTATTTTAACATTTTATATAAACCGCGTGGAGCGATTTATATAGCGTCATATAAAGAACTGCTCGACCAATCAGATTGCTGGAATCTCTTTGCTCAGCTCTGAAATTATACTAAGTAACTTTATTACAGCTGGCAGCGCGCGCGGACAAGACGAAGCGAATCCTGTGTTCTGATTGGCTACCATATATTTGTAGCAAGTGGTTAACTTATAAACAAATGTCGGCCAAAAAGCGATTTGATTCATGAACCCAACTTTAACACTCATATCGTGTTTGTACCCTTTCACAAGTTTCAACGACTCAAAAATAAATTATACTAACTCCAGAATCATGTTGTTCGAAAAGTTACGACTAATGTTTCAGTTACAAAAATGCGACTTCTATCAAATCCTTATTTTTTTTCTTACAATTAAACATTGTCTCCTTGTCAGTTTTTCTTTCGGAGACATTCCAAGTAAGCACAGTGCTACCTCTGTCCAACTCTTGCTGTAACCTGTTTGGTCTGGTTTACTTCTGATCGCCTCAACAGGTATCTCCTGTTTTGAAACCAGTTTCTGATCTGTATTTCCTTAAGCTCTAGCGCATCCGCCAAAACCCGTCGTTCGTTGCGGGTTAGGTAATGTTGACGAGAAAATGTGTCTTTCAGATACATCACTTGCATTAGTGAGAAGTTGGTACGTCTTCTTGTGGACGATTTTCGTCCAAGTGTTTTGCGACCTCTTGGAGAATTTTGAGCCTTACTCTTCTTGGTGCCGTGTCCTAGGATGATAAATGAAAGTACTTACCCGTAATATGCAAACTAACCTAAGCAACTGGAGCACAACGAGTATGCACTTAACACACGCGCGCGATTGAAGACAGCTGTTGATTTTTCGCGCGTGATTTTTCGCCCATCCCGGTACGCCTGCTACGTAGACTTGTTGCATTTTGGAGGAATAAAAAGTTTAAAAAGTACCCTTTTAATTTTTAATCATTATCTACATTAATAGATCTTCTCCAGATGCTTTTTTTTTTTCTAATTATGGACTGTTATCTTGAAATACTCTCCCGCGGGAGAGATTTCTATAGAGTTTTTCCTTGCTGGGGGTGTACCCAAGGCAATACCTCTATTTAAAAAAAAAAATTGATATACAGTTTTGTCCTTTTCCGTAGAAAATTTCCTAGATTTCTACACGATGCGTAGAAATGGTCGTGATCAATTGTTATACGGCCCAAAACGGAACATTAATAAAAGCAATTTTCAAATACCTTGAAAATATAAAGCCAAATCAAGTTCGTTGACAAGTCTGACGTTTTGAGTGACCTGTGTTCTTTTAAGGGTGTTAAAAGACGTTTAGCTATGGTCTTTATCATCATCTTCTTTAGTAAAAAGTGGAAGAAGTCCAGGAACGCACTGAACTTATAGCGCGCGTTAAGAGTGATTCTGTTTCTTGCAAATGCACTTTTACCGATATAAACCCTACTTTATCATTGATAGCAAGCTACCTTTACGCTCTCCATTCAAACTGCTCTGTTCCTGTCCTTCAATTCCAACAAAGTCAGATTGAGGAAATTTTATGCAGTTTTCCAGTCCATCCACATAAGGGCTGCGTTCATTATTTCCACCAAAAAATCTCTCTTCATCGCAGCTGAAGTGAATACCTCGAAGAGACTGGTTTCTTGTTTCAAAGAGAGTTCCCCGATTTTCTCTATGTCGTTGTTCGTGCACAATCTGAGGTAATTTGCTTATACGTGACGGATCGGGAAAGTCTGCACGGAGTATATTTGCAATGGAAAATGGCAAATTTTGGGCCATGTCGAGTTCCGTAGACTGATGCATACTAAGCAAAAGTTAATTGACTACGTCGTTCAGTCCCAGGAATGATCAAAGAGTAATATCTCCCTACAATACCACCACACTTTTATGAAAAAAGCGCGAAGGAAAAACGAAATATGTCAACAGAAGGATATTGTTTGATTAGAAATCAACTTCTCGGAGCCCAAATTAAAAGAAAGTGTCCAGACGGTGTAAGGAATTTTTTTTAGGCCTCGAAAGTGAAAGGGTCACAGCCGTGGCTAAATTTGAATCCATCCAGTAGCGGCTCATGACTGGACTGAACTTACTTGTGGTTTGCACGTGCAAATTTTGCAAAATCCTACATGATTTCAGATAAAAACAGGAGATAAATAAATTTCGAAGAGAACTGAAGAAACCAGTTCGACATCTGTAATGTCTTTTGTTTGAATTTAAATTAAAATTCCATTCTTTCCAACCAGTCCGTGGGAAAACGAAAAACCCTAATCTATCCTGGCTTTCCAGCCCTGCTCGTTTAAAAGCACGATGACATTATCTACCGGATACATCTAGATAAAAGGAATATGCTAAAACTTTTCCACGATAATAAAACGCGAACACTTATTTCCATTTATTTTTCACAGATTTTATTGAATTTTGACAAGCTTTGAATGGTTTATCATTATTCTTTTTTTTGACGAAAATAATTTGCAATAAATTAGGCACAGATTCTTATCGTGTGTTCGTCACGCAATACTGGCCTGACAACAAAGCTGAAATCTGTAGAACTCTCGGGCTCAGAACTCAAAATCTGACCCAGGTGGATCTTTGTAAACTACTCCCGGCAAAACACACAGCATCTCAAATAGAAAATTAGCAGCGAGGATCGAAGTTGCTCCTTGTACATCAAACATAGGCGAAACCTGCAGGAATGAGATAAACCTTGTGTTACAACGTGCTATTTACAACCAAAAACACATAACCGACATTGTTCCAGGCTATTTATTTGTTGGTTGTGTATTGCAAAGCTACACCCTCATTGCTGGGTATCATGTGATCCGGGCCTGTTGGTCGACCAACTTAAAAACAGATGTCCCATGGACTCTCTTGTTTTTAAAAGTGATTGGCCAAAAGGGGCGCGCGGTATAAGAGATGGAAATTTGTCCCTTTTGCACTGGATATCAGAAACAAACAAAATGGTACGCTAATACTGTAAGTTAATTACACAAGAAACTCTTTGACCTATTAACCTCTATGAGTGACTGGTATCAGGGGCCAGTCATCGGTAATGGACTCTTGCTACTATCTAATCTTTCCTTACAATATCGCCCCCAAATCAAACATTGAGGTCACGAGAATAGAGGAAATAATCACCAACTAAAGAAGCTCTTGATTGTTAGACAAATTCTCCTCGTCAGCACCTTGGGAAATGTATAGAGAACGGTATGGAGAATATGCATCATGATGTTTGGGTGTAAAGGGTTTATACAGACCTCTACCAAGTCTCCACCAACGATTTTCATTCCTCTGCAGCCCCTAATTATCTCCAAGGCTTGAATTGACGTCAAACCTCCAATCTCGTGTGTCCCTTACAGGAAATAAAGTTATTCTGACTGATTACTGATTCCATTCAAGCTAGACAGGAATGCTTTTCAACCGAAAAATTATCAGCGGGATGGTGCTATGAAATGGCTGTTTAACCCGAGTTTTTTTGATAGGTAAGAGCATTTGTAAAGATGCAATGAAATGAGAAGTCGTAGCTTTGCGACTTGAGGATTGATTTAAACATAGACGACCGAAAAGGCGTTTTTCTTCGGGGTGTAGCGAGGTATGATACTCTCCACCGCATCGTTGCGTTCAGTAGATTATATGACCCAACTTTCAATTAAATATCGAAACGTCCGCCTTACAGTAGACATACAGCAATTTTCAATCGAGTTTCGCAAGTAATCTGGGATTGCACTTAATTTGCTCTGTGATTGGTGCAGATGTAAAACGGTCGCCTGCGTTTTCCCGCGCTTTTGGTGTTTGCCTGTTTTTACTTCAAATTCTGATTTGCTCATAAGGGTATTTTCCTTTCTCCTGATTGGCTGTCGCAATCAGTTTAGTATCGGTTTTACGGCAATCAATCCAAAAGAGCTCTATCACCGGTATAATAGCTATTTCGGGATGACAACAATCTATCTAAAGATAAAGAAATAGAGACCTGTTCCAGGTGCATAACCAGGATCCACTGCGTCGATGTCGAAAGTGATGTAAACAGGTGCGTCTCCCATAAGTTCTCTAACCTGCGCCATCAAAGGCGCCATAGATTTGTACCAGCAGTACTTAGCGGGAACTATCTTGAAACCCTGCGAGAACAGGAAACACCAATTAAAAAGGTAGATAAGATAATATTCAATTCATTGTCGACAGCAAGCTAAGATTGCTTTACTTTTCTTTTACTTCACTCTGTGAAAAATCGCACCATCCCCATAATCAAATAGATGCAAAACTAGAGCTCTTTTCCATTGATTGCCGTAAAATCAAAAGCAAAGTAATAACAACAGCCAATCAGAATGAAGGAAAATACCCGGCCTGAAGAGCCAATGAGAACTAAAAGTACAAACACCCAAACTGCCTAAAGCGCGGGAAAGCGTGGGAAAGTGCGGGAAAGCGCGGGAAAGCGTGGGCGACAAAGTCACGTTTGGGTTAGTTTTGCACCTGATTGGTTGATCTGAGAGAGCAGCACGAGTTTTCTGGACCAATCACAGAGCAAACGGTATAACGAAGTCAACGAATCACGGATTACTTTCGACTCTCAAATGACAATTGCCCTAAAACAAATTCCATCTCAGTCATTCAAGTTTTCCCGCGCTTCAGGTGGAGTGCTTGGTTTTGCTTAAGGTTCGTGCACTTGTAATATATGTCTTCTTTCTCACTGGCTGTTGTATTACCTTTCTGGGTTCTATAGCTACGACGCTCAATAAGGAGAGCTCTCTCTGGATGCTACATTCCTTTCACAATAACTCCACTTCGCAAAGCCTGAAACTGATTTAAATCGCCTTCTCTTCAATCTAACCAGTGGTCACCCAGTTAGGGTTTTAAGAGCTGATTGAGACCTACAACAAATAAATATTTTCCTAAACTTTATGTAAAACTATTTTTGAAGGTTGCTTTGAAAAGTTAATATGCAGTGAAAACTTGAACAGCCAACCTGCTTTAATCACTAGGTAAAGAGACTTTTGCTCGGGTCTGATTGGCTAGATCAGTACGAGAACCTCTGCAACCAATCACAGAAGGAGAAGTTATTAAGTAAGTCCTTACCAGGTTTCTACCATATTCGTAGTCAATGGGACTGTTTCCAGACCCTCGCAGACCGATTATGACCACTCGTTCACAGTCCAGCAGTCCTTCTTCAGCTGCCAAGCGGAATGGCGTGGCGTTTGAAATTTTTTCTCCAAACGTGGTTTTGGATGTATCTGGGTGAGCATCAAGATGTACAAGTCCTACGGGACCGTATTTCTCCTGCAAAGAACGCAGACAATTGAAGACAATAAAGTAACACGAAAGGATGAAGAATAAAGAAAAAATTGGATAAATAAAGGATAAAGAATAAAGGGTAAAGGATAAATAAATAAGAATAATAAATAAAGGACCATAGCCTTAAAAACTCATTATCATATTGAAAACAAATCAAAATTTCGCAAAAATGCCTTAAAAACTACTTCGATGTAATACCACTTTATAATTTAAGAAATGTAGCAAACCTTCATGGCTTTTAGAATTGGGTATGAGATAGTATGATCTCCGCCCATGATCAGAGGTTTGCATCCATCACTGATAATGCTGGCAACATGTTGGTGTATGATATTAATATTGGCTTCAATGTTGAAAACGTTGACCGATACGTCACCAACATCCGCGACCATCAGCGACTCGTAAGGTGCAGCACCCGTGTGTGTGTTGTGAGGACGCAGCAAACAAGATTCACAGCGGATTTGTCGCGGACCCATGCTTGAAAAAGAAGAAAATTAAATTGAAGTAAACTTTACATTCCCCCCAGTCCAGATTTTCTCTGGTCCGGGCCAGTAGATACTCGTGATTCTAGCGGAGACGTGAGGTAAGGAAAGGGGTTTTGGGGCCGGGGTTTGAAAAAAGTTTATTGATAACATCGTGGTTGAACAGAACGTTGTTGAAAAAATTGCCAAGAAAACAATCCCAAATTACATACATACATACATACATACATACTTTATTGAGACTCCCTTCAACAGGGCTTTTCGGTCACGATGTTAACTAACGGTATTTACTGTAATTTAATTAAAATCAAATGTATTTATAATCATTCAAAGTATATCCAAATTTACTACATATAGAACATATTGTTAAAAAGTTTCCTCTTAAAAATATCAATATCTTTAGTGTTCCTAATGTTGTCAGGTAAACCATTCCATTCCCGTGGGCCGCGAAAATAAAATGCCCTTTGTCCCATCGACAATCTACATCGGGGGATCACAAAATCATTACATCCCCTTGTGTTCCTATTGTGAACTGCTGAACGCTTAACAAAATATTTACGTAAATAGTCTGGAGCTAAACTATTTACACCTTTATATGCTAAAACTAAATCATTAAATAAAACCTTTTCTGTAACATCTAACCATCTGAGAGATCTCCGTCGCTGAGAGAAATGGTCAAATTTCTTTAAACCTAATACAACTCTGGCAGCAAAATTTTGTACCAACTGTAGTTTGTGTAGATTACGCTTAGATGTGTTCCCCCACACTGAGGAACAATAAAACAATTTACTAAAAACAAAGCTATTTATAAGTAATAAAAGTGTTTTCTTATCCAAAAGGTGCTTAATTCTTCTTATCTGTACCAACTGGTTCATGCAACTAGAGGCTGTTTTAGTAATATGCACATCATAGTTAAGATATTGATCAACATATACCCCGAGATCCTTAGCAAACGAAACTGGTGAGATAGGTTTGCCCAGCAGAGTTAAGGAGATATGAGGTAGCCTCTTAAGAAGTTGTGCTGAGCCAACAGCCACCAATTTTGTCTTCTCGAGATTTATGAGTAAAGAATTCTCTGCACACCATCTACTGATGTTCCTAAGATCATGATTTACGGCTAGTCTCGTCACACTGTTTGCCTCCCAAGATTACTCCCGGAGAAAACTTATCTCGTCGCACTACCACAAAACCGGCATTGAACGCGTGCCAGAAAAACTAGGCTTGGGACACGCGACACTTATTATCAGTCACGCAATACCTGAGGAACACAATAATCCATTACATTCGAATCATACTAGAAAGGTCACGGAATTTTAAGGAAAAATGCTCCATAAAGATATCAGTTTGCTTTCATTCACTGTCTATGCCTAATGTTCTTTCCTATCTACTTACAAGGAAAACCCTAGATGAGCCCGTGCGGTTTGCCTTAAAAAGAGATGCCACGACTGATGTCCTGCACTGATCAAATCGTAACGATGGAAACACAAAATTATTTTTCATCTTACCGCGCTCCAGTTCGATGCGCATAACTACCGTTGTCCATTGGAATTCCGAGGAAACACGCATCCAAACCATCCGCTGTAGACTGCATAGGAAGGCGTAGCATTGTGGGAAATCCTGCTGCTCTGGGTACTTCGTCTGGTGTCAGAGGAGAGTTGAATTTTTTCGACGTTAACAAACTTGTCGCGATTCCACGAGTTGGCAGTGCTGGCAGCAGACGCTGAGAAACGGCAAGAAGCTGATAGCCAGCCCTATGAGAAAGCATAGCTGAAACAAAAATAGATTGGGAACTTTTTCAATTGTGTTTTGAACTGGAACCTACGGAACCTCTTTTCCTAGTAAGGCAAGTTTCGTGACAGCAGCTTCATCGAGAAATCTAATTTCAATTAGTGATCAGATTTATGCGTAATTGGTCAGGCGTGACGTCAAGAGAACTGGATGTCGGCCAAGATCGTTATCCAACTTATCGTCAACCTCGTCTTTGTCCTTATCAGTAAAGCATTGTAAGGGCTAAGGGGTCATAAGGAAGATCTCCTTACAAAAAACTGAATCGATTTTTATCGTTAGGTTTAAAATTGGTCAGAAGCATTACCTTTTCCGCCTTATGTAAATTTCGGTGTACTATTTGTTTTACATTAATTAACGCGATGCCATTCTCTCTGTTGTATCGTTTCTATCCATTTAATCGATAAAGGCATACTAAAGAGGGTGGCCGTTTCGCGATTTTGGCCACTAGTGTCCGTTCCCCGATTTTGGCCACTTGTGACCGATTGGCAATTTTTCCCACCGGTGGCCGTTCGGAGATTTTGGCCACTAGTGGCCGTTTGGCGATTTTGGCCACTGGTGGCCGTTTGATTATTTTGGCCATTAGTGGCCGCTTGGCAATTTTGTCCACTAATGGCCGTTTGGAGATTTTGACCACTCGTGGCCGTTTAGCTATTTTGGCCACTAGTGGCCGTCTGGCGATTTTAACCACTAGTGGCAGTTTGGCGATTTTAGCCACCACTGCCCGTTTCACGATTTTAACCACTAGTGGCCGTTTAGTGATTTTGGCCATTCCTTGCCCTTTGGAAATTTTGGCCACTAGTGGCCGTTTGGAGATTTGGGCCATAAGTGTCGGGAACCCTGAACAATGCCTTTGTTCGTTTAGTTGTTATTGTTCTCTGTTGTGTATGACCGGAAATGACTTCACTCAATTTCCCAGAATGTACTTTGTACTCCTAGGTATCATGTAGCTACTTAGTTAAATATAGCGATCCTGCATGCGCTCGTGTCGGCTGATGCTGTAGTTAAGCCTGGACTTTAAGCGGAGTGATTCTTAGAATAAGGGAGCTGATTAATTAGGAAACGTGTTGGTGCGTTTTCGACAATAAGTGACCATTTGGCGATTTTGGCCACTAGAGCCTGAGTCGTTTCGTCATTTTGGCCACTAATGGACTTTTGACGATTTTGGCCACTAGTGGCCCTTTGGCGATTTTCGCCACTAGT